CGGTGTGTTATAACTTCTGACATCGACACAGTACCTTTCTCATACTGCCACCAGCAATGTCTTTCAACTCGGATCTATAGTGAAGATAGGCTATTGTACGTCACCGTTCTGTTGCTCTGCTTCCCTTTGCCCATCTTCCCTGCTGACTTGTTCCGTAGGTTCAATTATCCGGAACGCCTGACGCTGTGGAAGAATGGATGCGCCCCATCCCGTTTAGCCACCCGCAAGCATAGAATTGCAAGAGAGCTCAATAGTCACCCCAACGAATACAGTGGGGGATGCTGCTATCATAGGGTTATTGGTATGTCAACACACAATTCCCCTGTACCCAGCCCTTACCAGTATCCAGCACCAGATCAATCGATCACCCTTGGACTCGGAGATACAGCTCAACAAACGCACCCCCCACGTCTACGTTCCCAAGTCCTGCTTCATTTGCCATGGTTGATTAGGATCTGTACATAATCACACGTATGCTGTTATTATCGTCTTGAACAGATTTGAACAGTCTAGGCTATGGTGAGAAGGATGAGAGATCAGATTGTGATGAAATGAAAGAAGGATAGTCACATTGGTTAACACGTTGAGCTTACCTTTTCACCTCCACTGTGGCGTAGTGGATCATCTCTGGTCACGGTACGAGTACATGTGATGGCAGGGTGTTGTCTGTATTTGCGTAGTCCACTTTTCAGTAACGCCGTAGTGTAGATAAAGACGGGTGTCGAACGAGAATACGAAGGTGTTTGTGATTGCCGAGTGTGGAAAATACGTATTCTTGTAGCGACAAAGTAAAATGTTCCGATCTGGATGCTTTAGAACAAGATAGATGCAGGGGGAGAGGTGATAAAGAGGAATCTCCCAAACGCACTGAGGTCCTGTTACGTCATTACCGGCAGCTTCGAGGTATATATAGGGAGTCGTTCAGTGATACCCATTTGCGTGTCGCTCTAACCCCAAATATGCCGTGAGTCATTACCCAAATTTTCAAAAGATAAGTTGGTGACGGGGTTTCTTTCTAGGTTATACATTCTTCCAGAAATTCTCACCGAAATCTTCTTGAACGCTGTAGACACAAACGGAATCACCGACCATGATCCTACCGTCGCCATGTCTTTGAGCATGGTTTGCTCCACTTGGCGTTCGGTAGCCCTGTCAATATCCGCGATATGGGCACGTATCTCCGCTTATTTCGATTTCGATGGCGAGCAAGACTTCCAATACCCTACCGGCGTTCTCCAACGCCTCGAACTTCACCTGACCCGTTCTCGGAGTGAACTTCTCGAAGTCACTCTAAAGATCGCATCCTTTCACGAAACACAAGGTGTTACCGGCTACCTTAGGGCTCCAGCCGAAGTTGCCAATACCATCAATCCACCGGAGCTTCTGCCGCTTTTAAGGGCTATCTTATCCGAATCCCATCGTATCAGGATGCTATCCCTACCTACGGAGGATAAGTTATCACAACTCGAAGCACTGTCTCTCCTCCGACCGTTCACGTGGAAAAATCTACACTCTATCGATATCAAAGTCGACTTTGATGATGATGATGCTGAAGCAGCGACTGAGCTCGTGGAGTTGTTTGGCATCTCCAATCCCAACCTACGTCGTATACGGTTCTCCAATACCCGAGGGCATTTTCCGACTACTCTGTCCAGCTCCTTTCCTCCTTCCCAAATCACCCATTTGCATGTTGGATACATATTGAACACTACGGCCTTTCATTATCTGTCCCATTTTCCCGCGCTAGTGTCAGCGGAACTCGGTATTTGGAAAAGGATAAACGTGGGGTACGAGAGCGATGAAGATGTACAAGAGCCTGAGCAGCCGCGTCTTGTGTTACCACATCTCCGTTCACTCAGTCTCGATCTATGCCCTGGCAATATCCATATCGATGGCGATCTTAACGCAACCTATCTCTTTCACGATGCCCTCACCTTACCCTCACTGAAAAATCTCGCATATACGTCCAAACGCATGGTCAACTGCAAATCAGACGGCCACTCGGAGAACTTCGTCGCCTCCCTCTCACAAATGCTCGAGCGTTCCAATTACCCAGTCTTGTCCTTCCGGCTCGAGTGCATACCAATCATTGATTCGTACCTGGTGTGGCTCTTGAAGCAGTTGCCGCTCCTGGAGGTATTCGAAGTTCGAGGTGCAGATGGAATCTCGATACTTCACAACATTTACTGTGACCATGGATTCGAGGATGATATATTCACCACCACGAGTCAATTGCTTGAAGCGTTGACATTGACTCCCACCAATGCGCAGCTCCTGCCTCGGCTCAGGCGAATTATCTTATGGACCCGTACCGACTGGAGAGAGGATTGTTATCCCTTTGAGACATTACTCGAATCTCGTATGCGAGGTTTTCGTCCGCTGGAGTCTGCATATTTGCATCTGGTCGACGAGGGCCCGGATACAAAGTGGACTTTTGATTGGAGATGCTTGAAGGCGTTGCAGGAAAATGGAATGGCAGTTAAAGTTGTGCAACGCTTTAGTTCGAACGGCCGTCCTTGCGATGACAGCCGCGCGAAGGTCCTGTTTGGGTATGAGTGATTTGAAGTGTTGGAATGTGACGTTTTTCGTTGTACTTATCACCTGTCCGGAGGTATAACTACTCTGTATAAAAAAATGCCTGGAAAAAGGTGGTTCAATTCGATTGATAAGGATTTGTGCCCATTCAGATGTCCCCGAACAGACTTGAACGATCTATGCTGTGATGAAAAGGTCAGATCGAGATGGAATGAAGGAAGGGCATGCTTAACACGTTGAGCTTAACCTTTCATCTCCCCACTGGCGCAGTGGCTCATCGCTTGTTACGGTACAAGTGACAGCGATGGTCCAAGGATTGATGTTTTGTTTTGTTTTTACTTGCGTCTTCTCCCTTCAGCGCTCTTCAGGACACCAGCGCCATACTATGCCTTGGCCTGATGGGATGTTGAGCGGGCAACGGGAGAAGTGTTTGTGATAGGTGAGTGTAGAAAAATACTATAGTAATGATGATACGAGCATGACTACTTTCCATAATTTTATCGTTTCATCATGGACAGAGCCGCATGGGTACTGACAGCTTGAACTAAGAACTGAGATCGTCAGGTTTCTGTCGTGTCTCTTGCATTAGATTCCCTGTGGACAAGGAATTCCCAATCCCGCGTTTGAATCACCGATGGTACATTCATCGCTTCATCCCTAATTAGTAGCTGGTTCAACGAAGGGGAGCGGTCTAGGCTGTGGTGAGAAGGCAGAGAAGACGCGAGATCGTGATGGTATGAAAGAAAGGCAGTCACGTTGGTTAGCACGTTGCTAACACGTTTTGAGTTTACGGCACAAATTTCTTTCTTCGCTACCACCACGTCCCCACTACTCTCACGTCGCTCATCGTCTCTGCCGGTCTAGCTCCCTGCAAGCCGTGGCTTTATAAACAACCTTCTGGATGATACTTCGATTGACTATCCCAATTACAGCGACAATAGGTATGTTTTCATCTTCTGCACAGTGCTTGTTGATGAACCAGGCTCACAGAGTAGCCTGTTACGCCTGGATACGCTCGGTGCGTTATCACTTCTGACATCGAAACAGCCCTTTGCCCATCGTCCTTGCCGGCTTTACTCCGTAGGTCCAACGCCTGACGCTGTAGAAGGGTGGATGCGAAGAAGCTCTGGTACGTCATCACGCAATTTTGAATCGCTGTGGTCAGTCTTACTCACGTTCAACGTTAGCTTCTCAACGATCTCAACTCCAACTCAACTTTACCACGCATTCGACGTTACCCTCGAGCTCAGTATCCCTGAACATGCTACCCTCCGTCAAGAGAAACCCAGACGTTCCGAACAAGCTACACCTCCGCACCCCATGGCTAGCCGCTAGAGGTGCAATCACATCTCTATTCCTCCACTTTTCTCGCCTATCCTTGGGTGGTTCAGCTGTCCGGACCGCTCAGTATTGGAGAGGTTACATACGAAGAAGAATGCGCTATTGGATCGTAAGGATAATGGTACGCCAACACACGGGTCTCCATCCTCAGACTTACTCACATTCAATCCGACTGAATGCTACAACCTACCAAATAATCGCAGATGTTCGTGTTCACCTCAGTCTCTCGCCCTAATCAATCATCTCCTTGCAGGCATGTCCCTTGCTCAGATCCCCGCATGAAGATCACACATCGACGGATACAGAACGGTTGGATCTACGGAACGTATGTCCCCGTACCTCTCCTCCCTATCCTTCCGCTCATGCTCGATATCAGCCCTTCTACCGACCCACCGGCATAGAACGCCACCCGAACGAATATCGTGGAGGATGCTGCCAGATTGCACTATTATTGATATGTCAACACACGATTCCCCTCTACCCAGCCGTTACCCAGTACTGGATCAATCAATCTTGTACTCGGAAATACCGCTCAACAAACGCACCTACCACGTTCACGTTTCCAAGCCCTTCATCGCTAGCGATTAATCTGCAGGTGGTACCCACTGTGCGGAAGGGAGCATAGGATATGGAATTGCATGTGCTTAGGGTACATATTCTCTTCCTCCCTTTCCCGTCGCTTTACTTATTGCTGATATTAGGACATGGCCTTGGTATACATGCCCATTGTGAAGAATACCCTCCAACCAACCCAAATACCGGCTCGAGGGAGAGTTTGCAGAAGCGATCGATTTCAGGTACTCCGCCGTTGTTTCATACCCGATGAAATGCTCATCCCCGTGCAGATCGATTGCGGTTCCTGTATCGTTCCTCTCTTTCCGCTTGTTCTACTCAATCTCAAAGTCCCAGCTCCGCTTCCCAATTTCCCACCTACCAATAACATCAAGAGAGACGTTGGAAGGAGGGAGATCGGGTGTTGGGGTGTTCTTTGTTGGGAGGAGAAACGATAGGCAGCGAGGGGAGTTGCTATGCGTCTGTACAGCTTCATTCGTTCCCTGACGCAGTTGTTATCTATTTATCGTACCAATGAAAACTAAACCAAAAGGTTTCGTGGTGTAGAATATTGCATTAAGAGAGAATCGAACCCCCGGCGGGTCGAGAAATTTGGATTCCGCAGGACCAGAAAATGGCAACGACCCAGGTTACCACTACCCCATTAATGCTAGGCCAGGTTTCGCTTTATTTCCCCCATTGATTCTGCGTTTGTAATGGATGCTCTTATACCGACTTGGCATAAAGTGTCAAAAAATTGTACACAGACATGGATCTGAGTGTCGTGGGTCGGGTAATGAAGTTGGATAGAAATGACCACTACCCCATTAATGCTACAACACTTTCCTTATATCGGTGTTTTATAAGTTTAACTGAATGAAACGGAATTATTCACTGACAAAGGACCCGGAAGGTAAACGTTTGCCACGGAAGTGAAAAATAGACAACTCAGGGACGTCATACTGCATTGAGAGGGAATCGAACCCCCGGCGGGTCGAGGAGTCACTAACCACGACCAACTTCATGGCAACGACCCAGGTTACCACTACCCCATCAATGCGGCGCGATTTTGAGTTTACTGTGATATCAGAACAATTCCTGAGTTGAGCGGGCACTCGAGCTGGTCCCGATTCAAATTGTCGCCCCCTTCAGGACTAGAGCGAGCAGGTAAAATTGCAATCCTACTGTATTGAGAAGGAATTGAACCCCCAGCAACTCAAGCAGTAGATATCACCACTACCCCATGCTGGGGCTGTTATGTGTCCGCAAACCCAATTCTCCCGGACTGCTAGAGTTACATTTTGGTTACATCAAACGTGTCGCTAATGTAGTTCAGAAAACCTCTCTTTATCGTGCGTATTCCCTCAAATCAGGTACTATTCCTTTGAGGTGTTATAAATGCTACCTGCTCTGAATGACACAGTATTGATTAAGTCCTGTGCTGTACCGTTCCGAATCACAGAGGAAGGATGCGTGTTGGCATCTAGACGCCAACTAGACGCCCGAATGTTTACATAATAAACTTCTTATCGATAAAGCAGATCGATTGCCTCAGGTTGCTCAACGACTACCATTTGCATTCATCGTGAGTTGGTGATCATGGCTTTAACACCATGGGCTACTAGCTCTGACATCTACGTAGCTAGATAACAATGTCCTCGAACACACTCCCACCCGAGATTTGGCTGAAGATCTTCCAACACCAAACGACACCCGACTTATACCCTATGCTTCTCAGCTCAAAATCGTTCTACGCACTGGTGAAAGAAGAGATGTATAAAGAAATATCTCTTGCCTCACCTCGGAATATCGTCAAGTTTCTCCTTCACATCAAAAAGAATGACAATGTCGCGCAGAAAGTCCTATCTCTGCGATTCAATCACCGGTACGCAATAAATCCCTACCAACCGATTGGCTATTTCTCAAGTATTACCTTCAAGTCATATGCTATATGTCAATGACAACCATCTTGGCTCCATCTTTCGACTGTCACAAACAACTCTCCCCCGACTCGTAAACCTACGCATCTTACGACTATACGGCGTCCCACGGAACAGGAACGCAACTCTAAACCCCTACTATTTCAGTAATATCCTGAACGACTGCACATTCCCCCATCTTCGAATATTCGAAACAGACGTCATGCTAATGCCGGAAACCATTGATGACTTTCTGATACGACATCAGAATACAATCGAGGTTCTTTCTCTACGTAGTGCTTGGCATGGGATATTTAGTATAGAACCACCAGTGACATGTGGCAAGTTGGTGACGTTTATGGGTTTACCGTTTCTTGTTGGCTATTGGCTAAGGATGATTGACACTCCGGTTTTACAAAGAGTGGTGGTGTATGTTGGGTTGAAGGACGAGCTTGGGAGGCTTTTGGAGGATATCGGGCAATTGCCCGTTGGGACTCGGGAGTTGGAGTTTAGGGCGTATGGTGAAGTAAAGGGGGCAGATATTCAGGATGAGATTTCCAGGCATCCTTTTGATGTTGAGGTGGTGGAGGTTACTGAAGCGTTTGATTAGAGTGGTGGACGACTCCTTTGCTTCGGTTAAGGAGCACTCAGTGATTCTACAGTAGGGAATAGAGTGGCATGTGTCATATCTTTGTATTTGAATAGAGACCATGGAACGCATTTTGCGCCACGAAACCCAAGGCTGTTCGGCAGATGAACATGGTATTGAAGAGATTATCGCACGTTCGAGGTCCTCACACTGAACATTTGTACTAACAACTACCACTGGTGGATACTGTATGATCCTTGCCCCATGAAAGGGTGTAGAATTTTGCGGGCCTGCAAGCTCTCTGGCAATATTGAATCGTTTCTGATGTCCCGGTCTCAACGCTTGACCATAAGATCATTCCATCAGAATGAAAATTATTACTCGCTTTGTTCCAATGGAAGGCTAAGAATATATTTTGGTCTGCTATATTAGATACCATTATGGACATACGATTCGATGTGCGATCAAGTCATATCTTGTCTGTTTTCTTGATATCTGTGACACCGTTAGTACGCGAATGTCCCTGTTACTGCGCGGCTCAAGAACAGACGCCTCTCGGGAGGATTCCTTCTGAAATCCTATCAGATATCCTCCATAACATCGAGACTCACGGAGTGCTATCCGTCACCTTGGGCGTCTACTCAAGTCGACATCACCAAAAATAGCTCGTCGTTGGCAGATTTAGGGTGTCTAGATATTTATTTCGAGTGCGCCGCCCGGTCAGTAGATAAAGCACTTACGAGTCTGGCTACTCGCTGTCAATTTGGACGTCACGAAAGAATTGTGGAAAACAGAGGGGTAGATTGGTAGCACGATGCGATCAGGAACCCCTCGTCCCATCCTGCGTCTTTGGTGTAAGAGTCACTCAACCAAGTACATGAAATCCATGTGGACAGTCACAAACAGCCAATCGTACCTCATGTTCCAGGTTCACCCATGTCGACAATAAGCCGAGCGAATGTTGAAAATGTGACGATGTGATTCCCGAAAAAACATGGGCGTTAGGGGACGAGAAATGGTAGCGGGGAGGGGCTGACGATACTGGATCACAAGCAGGAAAATGGAGAGGAAGGTTGGTGTATATTGATTCACGTATATCGCTGAGATGTTCAAGTCTTCAAGACTCCCGTAGGTGGATATATGATCAGGCAAGCGTAAAATGAGCAGAACTAGAACAAAGTACCACGTATCGAGGGTTTCTGTATTGGGTTTCATTAGGGAAGGAAAGAAACATCTTTGATATGATCTTGACAGAAGTTGGATCGAAGAGCCTGGAACAGATAGATTAAGGGAAGAGCGAAACAGAACTAGCGTACCGGATGGTGAACGAGCTAAACGAGCTGGCATCGCGTGCGATATTTGATTTTTAGGAATAGTAGTGTAGAGACCGCACCCATTCTGGGCACATTTTTTATCTGGGTTCTCGTCGAAGAAAGTCTTCTAGATCAGATATAGAGTCAGGCCAAGAATTCTACCCGTAGAAATGACCCGACGTGCCGTACAGTTATCAGTCGACTCTAGGAGCGGGGTGAATACGAGAGGCAGTGCGATTGATCATAGCCATAAAGACGAATGTGGCACATATCAAGTACGTGATAAAACTCGGTGGCCGTCGCCTCAATTGCATTTCTTGATACTGTTCAATTTTGCCAGTGATGAACCTCTGGAAGAAAGGCGCTCCAGAATGAGTAAGTCTGACTTACTCGATAAGAACTTGTAGACGCTCACCTGTCTGCTAGTATCGTCTTGAGCCCGCAGTGAGAAGGGACAGAAGACAGGTCAGAAGAGATCATGGTGGTATGAAAGAAGACCAATCACGTTAGCTACCATGTTGATAACACGTTTTGATGTTACGGCAGAGGCTTCTCAATCTTTCTTCCCTACCACCACCTCCGTTCGACTCTCAGTTCCGCACGGTAAGGTTCGCTCATTTCCACGACCTGATCCTCAATTTGAAACGGATCTAGGTTACCACCTTGAATGGCTATGCCGGTTACACCGACGTGACATGCTCAGTTAACACTGGCCGTGTGTCAGGCAGGTGTTAATTCTGAAAGTCCTTATATCATGGTGATTATCCATACTGAGAAGCGGCTAGATTGCTTCACTGTTGAGAATCAATAGCCATCACTGTCGTATCCGCCAGGTAGAAATTAAGCACTTGGCACTGTTTTGATGATTATCAGATAGGTGATATCAAACTTGCTGATCCACCAAATGCCCAGTGCGAAATGCTAATTACTATCCTTCCACTCCCCTTACTTATTCGTGACTCTCCGGTAACCTTGGAGTTGTGAGTAACATAGAATTCAGATGGGAGAGTTACGTGAACGCCTCTCCTGACTGACTATCGCTCCGTTTGGGTCCCAGACAGATTTTTGTAAAAAAATCACAACGATTAATGAGATAGGATAGAGTCCCTAAATGGTATCGTTTAGCCGTTTTACATGAGGCTTGACTGAGATGAACACGCACCACGAGCCCCAACGTAAGTGCTTCGATGACGCCTTTTGCACACAACCACGCAAAGGAGACGTCCTTGACATTTGAGTTTGTGATAATCGTGAATGTGCCAAATAGAATCTAGGTACAGATTCTCAGTTGTACTCGCCGACCGTATATCATCTCGAGCCTTACATACCGCAATCACTGTGTACAGTACACCGCTTTCCACCATTATCACCAATATTCTCTCTGAATACGCACTGTGACTACCAGCGCTGATGTATTCGCGTACTGCCTTTTTGTGTAACCTGATCTCATTATCAGATTTGGAAGTGACGGGAAACATTCTTGGGGCTCACCAGGTATAATACCATAACGATATGGTTATGGTGACATTGGTGCATACAGTGAGCGCATAGCCGACAATTCTGACTGAGTTGCATTTTCCGGTTTGGTCATTCCCGTCGACAAGATAGCACGCAATAAGCACAACGTCTGACACTAAAAATATTGAATTCTGAGTGAAGCTGTCGACTGGAGTGCAGATTGGCAACGCACCCGCTGTGCATGACAACATCAACGTAGGTACGACCATTGCACATCCGCTTTTCCACAGAGACGCGACCCGCCAATACATGACGAAGTCTCCTAAAAATGACTTTTTTGCACTTTAGTGATCATCAGGGTTGGGGTAGGTAGGACGTACATTGATGTACACGGTTGCGCTCACAATGACAAAATATCTGGCCCACAAATTTTCGAACCCCGTTTGGTCTCCTTCGAGGTCTCCTGCTACTATCTTCCCTTGAGAGGATACGAAAATGGAGAGGATAACCACCGGCACTCCTGACAATATTAGCATGAGGACAAGCGCTATGACTAGCATTATTCTTGCTCTTGGCAACCTGGCGGGTGTCCATCTTCGTCTGCAGTTTCAGCGAGGAGAAATACCAGAGGTCGACAGAAAGGTGGAAGGGGTACCTACTGGAGAGCCACAAAAATGATTAGAAGGATCAATTGTGTACCTGTTCATTACAGAACGTGAGTAGTAGATGATCACAGTTGCAGAGTTAGGCTCACCGTACATCACTGCCAATATCACAATCTGTGCAACAGACAAGACGAGCCTTTGACCAGTCATCGGCAGCATTTCACTGGATTGGGGCATGATGGGAAATGAGTTGGCGTCGTGTCTCGAGCAGATTGGCTTTATAGATAGAAGCCTTCTTTAAACACATTATAGATAGGAACTGAACTCCCTTCTGGCGAGATACGCAGTCATGTTTCCGATGGTCGCGGTCAGAAGGCCAAAAATTTCCGAAAATTGCCCCAATTTGGCAATTTTAGGCGCTAATATCCGAAATGGTCACTTTCGAATGGCGGTCACAGGTCACCGAAATGAATGGAATAGGTATTCCAAATTCACCGCCAATCTTGATTCCTGCCTCCTTGGTCAGAACGTTCAGTCGCGCAGTCCCGCCAGAAACACGGATCAAGACCATATGCTAGTAACAGCCTTGAATCGCCGCTGTTGTAGGAGTAGACCGTACAGCGTATAGATACGGCCGTATGAATGATGACCGTCTCGCGGCCAGTACATATGGGCACAGCGCCCGACAGACACTTCCGTGTCAGTCACAGGAAAAAGGACTACCAACGGGACCTCGCAGCTTCCGATATCAATCCTAGTAGGCTACGTGTTTCGATCTATAATCGGCACAGGGTTTGTATTGCCTCTGCGGTAGAGGAGGCACAATGAAGAAAAGACGAGTGCCTAGCTTATTCATCCAATACCCAAATCCAGGACAATTACTACATTGAAGCGATCAAATCGACGCAGTAAACATGTAATTTCACGTATTGAATGCTTCTATAAATACTTTCATATTCTGGGATAAGGCGTTAATTGTATGTTAAGGCAAACACTTGTAAGGCAGCTGGGCGTTATCTTTTAGGCCGCGCATAGCGAGCAAGATTTGAATTGTGTCACGTACTATGAATGCCACGTATTCTCTTCGTGCCGCGATGTCCTTTCTATCTGGTAAAACCGTTGCAGTGTCACGATATCGGGATCACAGGGCAAGTTTACGACAAAGAGCCTGATGGACGAAAAGCGTTGAAGAGCAAAGCTGGCGCAAACGCAAGCTAGGCCTTATCTCATTGGTGACCGACAATATCCCCGCGTTCCTGGCACATTGACTTAGATTGTATCCCAAACCTGTCGCTCGGCTTACAACATCTAGCATTGTTATAGGCCCTGCTGAGCTGGCAAGTGCAGTGAGACGAAGCTCGATGTAGGATATTACCTAACAAGAGTTGACAAATGTTGTGCATCTGCTTGCTTCGCAAACCTGGGCCGAAACCAGCAAGATTCTGGCAACTGTTGCAGTGGAAGTGAGAATCATTGATGCTTCAAAAGCTGTACATGTAGAATGAAACACGAGATGGTGAGTGATAGGCAACAACACGCGTCACAAAAATAATACTGTCTATTGATTTCGATGAGATTGGGCATCATTATTTGAATTGGGAAGGACATGCCCAAAGACTCGCAACTAGGAACCGCTCATCTCCTAGACTCAACCAGGATCCATGTCTCGTGTTCCAGGCACACCAATGTCGGCAATAAGACGAACGAATACTGAAAATGTGACGGTGTGATACGCCTAGAGAAACTCGGGCGTTAGAGAGGTATGAGATAATATATTGAGACAAAGACATTTACTAACGGTGGATGAAGACGGGGAAGGATGGGTGCTTGTTCACCAGCAGGAAAATGGAGAGGAGGAACAGCTTGTATGCTAACGTCTTCAAGATTCTGGTAGGCGGAAGGAGATATGATCAGGCAAGAGCAACGTACAACGTATCGAGGAATTATGGACTCGGTTTCGCCAGGGAAAGCAAGCAACGCCAGCGGTTCGCGTTTTGGACATGGTCTTGGTAGAATCAGGACACAGGAATATCAAGTCAGGCAAGGACCGGTCCAGTGAAACTGAAACAACGTACCGGACGGTGAACGCTCAAAACGAGGTAGCCTCTCGTGCAAGTATAGATGGAGGATGGGCGTAGTGTAGAGACCATAGGCATTCTGTCGTCCCAGAAAATCTTCCCGATGTGATATAGCATCAGGCAAGAGTCGTATCCCAAGAAATGTCCGGACGTACCGTACAACACGTTAGCCTCTCGTCCAGATATCACGAGGAAAGGTAGAGCGATTGATCATGGCGGTTGTCGAGGACCTGGAAGGAAAAGCAAACGAGGTACAGGTCAAGAAGGCGATAAAAAACGGGCTAAGCCTCGATCCCCAGAAAGACACTCGATAAAGCTTGTACCCAGTCAAATGTCTGCTGGCATCCTTGTATAGACTTGAATGGTCCCGTATGTGACGAGAAGCTGAGAGAAGACAGGTCAGAAGCGAGATCATGATGGCAAGGAAGAAAGGCAGTCACGTTAGCTAGCACGTTGCTGCCACGCTGTGAGATTACGGCAAGGGCTTCCCAATCCTTCTTCGCTACCACCACGTCCGTTCGCCTCTCAGTTCTGCACGGCAAGTTTTTCTCATCCGTGGACGATTTCGTGTTCTGATTCTCGACTTGATATGGATCCAGGTCATCGCATCGAAGGACTGTGCCGATTACGACGACAATGGGTATGTCCCTATGTATATGATACTGCAGTTGGCTTGTTGCTGAAATATGCTCCCTTTAGAACTTGATATACCCGGAATTTCATCGTATCCGACATCGACTCGACGTGCCCTGAAGTCTTTCGGAAAGAACCTTCAACAAAGCCAGACCATCGTATGTCGTTGTTCCTTTTTCTCCACTCTGTTAGCTCATTGTCCCTGCTGCCTTTACTCCATAGTTACGCCTATCTTGTGAGCTTGACACCATAGAGCAGTGGATGTAGGGATTACGCGTAGGGTCTAGTACGTCAACACATGGCTTTCATTCGTTCTCTGACTTACCCACATACAACAGCGTCCCAACCGACTGGAAACCCACCTGCGGCCCAAATGTCCGAAACCCCTCACGCCTTGCAGATGTACGTCTCCATCGCAGTAGTTCCGTGCTTTCTCGAGTCGCTCATTTCCATCGTAGGCGTTCTGGCTACCGTTCAGCTCCTTGCGATCAAGATTCGACATCAATGGATAGAAGTACGTACTCATGCTTCTTCCTATCCTTTCACTCAACTCCGATCGACCTACAAGTGCGAATGCTCTCGGTCGCGACATGAAAAACCCCTTAGACACACTCAACGTTCAGCTCATTCAATTCACTTCCACGTGTATGTGCTCTGATTCTCCCTCGCTCGCCCAAGTCACTAATTGTCTTGCAGCGACTGTCTAATCCTCTGAACCGACCATAGACAGATAAGAAACCACGGTCATTACCATGCCTAGGGTACGCACTGATTCCTCCTCTGAGTGTCATCCCACTCAGCCTTGGCTCCCCTACAGATACCCAACAACCTACCGAAAGAACATACACCCTTCGATCCACACCCATGCATGACACAAGAGGGAGGGACTACGTCACGCCCACTGCTTTCCAGACTGTCAACAACGTGGAAAGACTAGGGCTTCTGTACGTCTCCGATCATCGTTTACCCACCGTCTCACTCACGTTCGATATCGAAGCCCCCGAAGCAAATGTCCGATTATGCGAAGCCAAAACTTAACCTTCAAGCTTCGCGTTACGGAGGAGAGATGAGGGAAGGGGGTGTTGGTGGGGAGATCAAACGATAACGAACGGATAGGAGAAGAGGGGCTTTGCTGTTCATTCATTATACAGTACAAACTCTTACCCTAAACTCACAATCTCGTTACATTACCTGTACAACTTTCCTCTGACGATAAAAAAGAAACCTAAATACACGGTCCTTATTGCATTAAGAGGGAATCGAACCCCCGGCGGGTCGAGTTCACACATATACCTAATGCATGGCAACGACCCAGGTTACCACTACCCCATTAATGCGGTAGGTTAACTTCGTCGCGGTATCACACAAACACACTCAATGGTCTTGCCTCCGGGTACCGCATTGCCATGGCGTAAGACAAGCAATACGCTCTGATGTCGATACTTTGGAGTGTTTGAGAGAAACTCAGGAAATAGAATTTTGCTCATTACCTGGTGATCAACTGTTTTAGACTTCCGGCGGGGTTAAGGAATTTCTGGACGCTGATCCCGGTCTAAAAACAAGATCAAATCTGCGATATTGCATTGAGAGGGGATTGAACCCTCGGCGGGTCGCGAATGGAAGGCCACCCATGGCGACGACCACTACCCCGTTAATGCGGTGATTTGTCCCGTAGTTTCGTGCTTTGGAGGGCTAGATGGAACGATCTCAATGTTCTTGTTTTCGGGGCTTATACAGGTAAGGCATTGCAGTGGAGAATGTCAATGAATAGCAATACGCTTTGATTTCGCGTCGATACTCCAACAACGTTGGAGGTAAAACACACTAAGTTTCTGGTACCGACCAGAGTACACTTTTTGACGCGAAGTAAATCAGACTTGTGGTAGTTGACGTGGTCATAGAGTCTGCACGGTCCAAAGAAAAAAACAGGAAACACGTGAGGCACACCCACTGCATTGAGAGGGAATCGAACGGGTCGAGCGAAAACCAGCCATCTATATGGCAACGACCCAGGTTACCGCTGCCGCATCAATGCGTGTGATCTGCCGCGATTTATCTAAGATCATGATGTTTTGCACTATCCACTCACGCAGCAAGAACTTGACTATTGAGAAGGATATCGGATCAGGCGTTGAGAGCTGCAGATTAGAGCGTATCTTAGCCATCCTTTTGAGTGTGAACATTACAAACTATTTCAGCGTAGACTTTGGAAGCATAAAATGAGACAGTAACCCGACAGAAGGGACCGACAGAAGATGTTGCTAACCGAAGATAGAGTCCAACTGTCCAACGGTGTGACTTAGGGAAGCATGGGCATATCTTGATGCCTTGACCACCGTCGACGAGAAGGAAGAGGAAAAATATCTCGAGGTGAGCACGGCAGGCAACTGTGGGAATTGTGACTGGAGCAAATGCCGAAATATTATAACCGTAGAACCTGGAGTACAGATTTTAGTGAACAAACACTATGGTGCCTGGAAGATATAAGGTAAATCAAAGCATTTACAGTTGATACATACATAATACACCTTCGTTTGCCATAGGAATTTCGTCAATGATTGCGAGCAAAGCTCTTGACTTTCGCTCGCCGCATTTGTCGACATCATTTTGATTTACGGCATCGGCAGCTTCGAGGTATATAAAGGGAGTCGTGCGGGGATACCGATCTGCATATCGTTACACCCCAGACATGGCGTGAGTACTCATTCAAATTCGCAAGATGAAAAACATATTGACGAGCCAGTCCGTAGATTATACATTCCTGCAGAAATTCTTACCGAAATCTTTATGGAAGTGGTAGACACGAACCGCATTACAGACCGTGGTTCCACTTTGGCCATGTCTTTGAGCATGGTTTGCTCTACCTGGCGTTCGGTAGCCTTGTCAATATCCGCGATTTGGGCACGCATTTTCCTGGATATCAACATCCTCCCTCCAGAACACGTCAAATACCCTACAGGCATCTTACCATGCCTCGCCCTTCACCTGACCCGTTCTCGGAATGAACTTCTCGATGTCATTTTCAGCTGTTTACGAATCCCTAGCAATTTTTTGCGAAAATCAGTCCTGCTGATGGTATTTACATCCAAACAAAGAGCTCCACGGGCCGGCCAGGGGTGCCGACCCAGCGCTTGTCTGGCGCTCGCAGCAGTCGCATTCACAGTAGCCAACCGTACATACTGTAGACTATATACCACCACCACAGTCACAAGCTATGATATCCGATAAAATGGTCATGCTATCTAGACACTGCTCCCGTCAAAGAAACCGATAAGAATAGGCAGAGCTTCAGCGACAGAGTCGATCAATGGCCCGGTCGGTAGGTAGCTAGGGTATAGATTTCAAGAGATAACGATTCAATTTCTGTGCCAAGGACTGCAGGGAGATGAATACTTCGACATGGGAGTTGGTGAGGAAATTATTGACAATGACAATCATTCAACGTTATTCAACTGCTGAATACTGGACAAGCGCCGGGTCGGCGCGCCCGGGTGGAGCTCTTTGTTTGGACGTAAATACCATCAGGAGGACCGATTTTCGCAAAAAATTGCTAGGGATTCGTAAACAGCTGTTACATACCGACGATTTAGGTGAACTGGGTGCCCTCGAATACCTCAGCTCGCCGAACGACGCCGTGTGCGCCCTCAATAACCGTGCTGTTCTTGTCCCATTCAAGGCCTTACTTCACGAATCTCATCGTACGAGAAGGTTGTCTTTACTCAGCAATAATTCATTCGCATTCAGTCTTCATGGCGCCCAAGCACTGTCCTTTCTTCGTCCGTATCCATGGCAGAATATTCAGTCCGTCGAGATTTGTCTCCCTTACTGGTTTCACTGCGATGAAGCAACCGAGCTCGTTGAGCTATTTGGGATCTCCAACTGTAACCTTCGTCGTCTCTCATTCTCCAACACTCCAAAAGGCTTTCCGAAACGTCTTTTCAGTTCCTTTCCTTCATCCGAAATCACCCATTTGCGGGTTGATCGCATGTTCGCCAAAAGATGTATCCGTTGTCTCGCGTCGTTCCCGGCACTTGTTTCGGCGCGATTTGGTGTTGCACCGGATAGCGAGAACACCGAGGCCGAGGAAGATGACGATGTGCAGACTCAAGAGTATCTCGTGTTACCGCACCTCCGCTCACTCACGCTCGAGATTTGCAAGGGATACTGGCAAGCCGTGGTTGATCCAACTGCCACAAGTATCATTCACGGAGTGTTCGCGCTGCCTTCCCTGGAACATCTCGCATACGTATCCGTTGGGACGATGATCCATGATCCAGGGTCTGGTTCCGAGTCGCCTTTCGTTACCTCCCTCTCACGAATGCTCGAGCGTTCCAAGCCCTTGCTCACCTCCTTCCACTCCGAGGGTATTCCGATAAAGGATGTGGATCTAGTGTCGCTTTTGAAGTAGATGCCACTCCTGGAGGAACTTGAAGTCCGAGATGCGAGGAAAGTTACGGAATTTGATGTACAAGAGCAGTCTCTTACCAGGTACCATAACAGTACCGTCACGGTAACGGATCAATTGCTCCAGGCATTGACGTTGAATCCTCTGGAAGATCATCTCCTCTCCCGGCTTAGGCGAATTGTCTTATGGATCCATACCGACTGGAAAGTCGAATTTCCCTTCGAAACGTCACTCGAATCTCGTGCAGCCAGTCATGCTGGTCTGAAGAATCGACCACTGGAATCTGCGTATTTGCATTTGGTGGATGAAGATCAGGATACGATGTGGACTTTTGACTGGGGACGCTTAAAAGCGCTGCAGGAAGGGAGAATGGCTGTGAAACTCGCGCAGCATTTTGATCAGGACAATCTTGATGGCGATGCGAGGAAGGTGATACTCAAGTATGGTTGAATGGTCAGGCATTTAGCTCAGGGGCCGAGTTTTCTTGGCATGATTGTGATTGTGGCCGGTGGCTTGATTTAGGGTATACTTCAACGGTCGACCATGTACAGGACATGTCTGATTGATTAGATGAATCAACAGAGGTGTCTACAATGCTTCTCATTACCATGAGTCGGAGACAGTAATCATAAACGACTGTAACGGGCTATATCACGCCGCGCCTTTGTTTACTTTTATTTAGCGTTTTCTTGACTTTTTACCACTACCATCGTACTCATAGGATAGTATCGCGTCTATTTACAGAATAGAAAGAGGTCTACTCGTACGATCTGGTCGAGAGTCAGGACGGCGCGTTATAACGACACACTTCTTCTATCTGAATCATCCCCTAAGTTCCAGTCAATTCCCGAAGTACTGATGTTTTTCGGCTCAATTCACCGTCGATAGACAAATTATAGAAAGGCCCAGGTCTTTGCACACTAGTGCTGAATTGCCGTGACTTTTGTTCAAGCAATCTATGTACAGTGGAACAATAGAATTATACAAGGTAAGGACTGGATTTGGTTATTTGGTTATATAACTTGAAAGTTCGCTCTGTTAATCAGAGTCCGACCGCAGCAGAAAAGAAGGAGCGATTATAAAAGGAATGTAAGGATGCCAATACTATGTCAGTGACCAGAACGAGGGATGCCCCTAGAGATCGTCGCTGCTCAGCGCATCATAGGTAGGACAGAGATTATCCCATTGTTCTAGAAGTGTAAAATTAAATCGTTTTCCTTTCCTACAATGATCACGTACCAGTCGGATGGATAGTTGAGTTCCATTCATCGGTTCTCTCCGCAAAGACCACGGCGAAGCCTCTACAGAAAGAATCAAATCAGAATCGGCGGTTACAACCACTTTCGAGCAACGTACTCCTCCAAATGCCAGTCGATATGACAATGGAAAATCCATGGTCCTGGGTTATCCGTCGTGAAACGAATAGTGACATTATCAGTGGAATCACCAGCGTTGACGACATCTCGGCGGATCTGAAAGCGAGGGATTTCAGGGGTATGGATGGATGAAGCGATTCGAGATGAGGTATGCTCACTGGGTTGACGAAGTTGTAGTCGCTAGCACCAGCAGCACGTACGACACTGAAGGTATGCTGTCGGATAATTCAGAACTTCCATCGGCTGGTTGAGACTGGCATACTCACACCGTGCAAATGCATTGGATGCTGTAAAAGCTAGCTGTCAGCAATGGAGCATTGCAGTCCCGATTAGATAGGCTTACTTGCTCTGAGTTCACTCCTCCAGTCATAGAAAGCTCGACAGTTGCGTTCCTTGGCAAAGAAATAATTGATCCGGAAGGCAGAAGAGAGTCAGCAGTTTGAGCACCACTGAGGATCTGCAGCAGGACTGGAACGGTAGGTGGCACGTATTCTACACCGTTCACAGTAAATATCCCATCACTCTGTTGAATTGTTATCCGTGTTTAAATTAGTCG